TTGATATTTGGATGATAATATTGAAGAGCTAAACTGCTTTACATGGAATATTGTAATTAGAAAAAAAGTCTGAGGAATCACCTAATTCAGGCTCTCAGTTGACAAAGAATTTACCTTAGTTTGGTAAAAATTTGGCTTTATATGGAAGTTTCTCAAAAAATTTGAATAATTATTTTCTGAAATATTATTCTAAATTGGAGTAAAAGATCATTCAGGTTCTTCTTTAAGACTAAAGATGGAAGTGACTTTGTGATCCAGGTTTTGTGACATTGTATTTTAAAGGAGGAATTTATATTTGATGTAGAGAATACTTTTTCAGGTTGAAAGTATGAAAATGTCTCTGAATCAAAAACTCAAAGGGATTTTCTTAAGTGAAATAAAGTGAAACAAAGAAAGTTGCATTAGCATTTGCAAGTTGCTGAGAGTTCTTTTTAAAATTTGTTTTTTGGTTCTCTTAGGCCTCATTTGCAAGTTTCTACTTAATTAACTAGGGCAGATAATGTTAGGTAAGTTCCAAAATGTGATGGAATCACATGGCAATACCATAAATTCTGTATTTCTTCAATAAAAGTTGTTGACACTCTGTATGTCAAGCAGTAGAGGGCACCAGTGAAAAGAGATGGTCTGTTGCTATGTTCCGCAATTTTATTGGTGAAGACAGAGAAGTTGGCTGCGTCATCAATGTAGTACCTCTGTTAAAGCTCAGGTATAGGTAAATTTAATTCAATCTTGTGTTTGAATTATTCCCTCATAAGAGTTTTTTGAGGGCACTAAAGTGATAGAACACATGTGACTATGACTAGTATAATAAATGGTGTGTTAAAATCATTCCATAATACATAAAAAGGAAAATTAATTAAGTATCTCACGCAAATAAATGTATGGTAAGTCAGGAATAAAGCGTTAATAAAATATGTGTTAACTCTAGGAATAAAGCAAAGCATTGGTACTATCTGTGAAAGTCAAGGTCTTAGAGCAGGAAGACTCTTGAGACAGCTTCTATAAAAAATTACTTAGAAATTATACTTACCAATGTGTTCAAGCTACATGAACTATTGAGTTTTGCTTTGTAGGTTAATGGAATGAGAAGTGAATTTGGCATTTGGAGACCTTGAACTTTTATTTTCTTATTGTAAAATGACAGAGATAATGAGGCCTATCTTTTAGTGTTGCTATAAGTCTCATGAAGGATAATGTCTTTAAAATTACTTGAAAATACAGATGTGATCAATCAAATATACGGTATTTTTAACAGAAATATAGCTACCTATATCTTATATTAGGTTCCTTAATCCACATATATCTCAGAATAACACCCAATTCCCAATTTGAATTTGTAGAATAATATATTGAAAAGAATCTTCAACTATTGGGGAAAAAATTGTGAGTGTGTGGGGTGTATGTATGTGTGTGTGTGTGTGTGTGTGTGTGTGCATGTGTGTACATGCATGTATGTGAGGCCTATTTCTATCATACATATCATGTCCAGAAAATGTCAGTACTAAGTTGCCAAGTTGTTGAGGTAAAAATACATGGAAAGGTATAATTTAAAATTCTGAGACTCTAGCTTATAACATTTGTACTTTTAAGACAAATTTTCATGAACTAAAGACATGAAAATGAACTTAAATTCAATATTCCTTCCAGCCTATGATTTTATGATTATATAACTCCAACTGCCTTCTATCTATGATGAATGGTTCTAAATTGAAGACCCTTTATCTTCTAAACTCTTTGATAAGTTTGGGCATCCACATCTGGATATAAAAACTGGAGAGATGAACTACTTTGCATACTACGAAGAGAAAAATTTGGAGTGTTATGATCTGTCGGGGCGGGAATGAAGTATAGAGATTGAATGGGGGAAGTGAGAAAATGCGGGGAAAGCCCACATCTTTAATAAAGTTTATTAAATTGAAAAGGTGATTGGCGTAGGTAAGTCTCTGCTAAAACCTAGTGACAGATGAACACTGGGTCACTTGAGAGAGTGGTTAGGTACACATGAAACCAGGACCCCAAGACACAGAGGATGATGGAAGAATTTAAGTTCCTGATAAGTTGCAGAAGGTTTTGGACTTTCACTGACTGTGGAAGATCTATCTACAAATAAATCTTCACCTAGATCTTCAAGGAGTCGAACAGTTCCCACCTTATACCTGAGTTATACAAGTAAAACATATCTTTATTTATTTATAAGTTTTAACTTACCTGCTTCCAGAAGGAGAAATGATATATTTGTTGTATTATTCATTATGATGGAACTTTTAAGAGGAGTTAATCTAGGTCAATGGTTCTCAAATGAGGAAGGGGTCAGTTTTACCCTCGGAGACAGGGATCAATGTCTAGAAATATCTTTGATCATAACAACTGGGGGTTTCTATGGGCACTTCATGGTTAGAGGCAAAGATCCTGCTCAAAATTCCACAATGCCCAGGACAGGCCCCGCAGCAAAGAATATCTGACCCAATGTCAATAGCACTGAGTTAAGAAACCCTGATGTAAGCCAACCTCTCATCTCAACAAATGAGAAACTGAACATCAAAGAGTGTCAGCAATGTGTGTCAAATCACAGTGAGCAAACAGATAAGTCCTCTAGTAATTTTTCCCCTTACAGTATTTAACTTCTAAGAGCTAAAATTCTAAAATGAAACTGTTGGAAAATAGGCCTTCTTATGGACACACTGACTTAAGATGTACTAAATAATTGCATAAATCTTAGTACTGCTTACAGTAGGATATCTAGGCAAAGAAGAACATAAAAAATGTAATCACAATATATATTTCATTATATAGAGTAATAACCATTTTTATAATATTTAAACAAATTACTTCCCAGCACAGTGGTTCTCAGGCTTTAGCATGCTTCGCGATCACCTGGAGGAAGGACTTATACAAACACAGATTGCCGGGACCCACACTCAGAGCTTCTGACTCAGTAAGTCTGATGTGAGGCCTGAAAACCTGCATCCTTAGCAAGTTCCCAGGTAGTACTGATGTTGCTGGTTAGGAGATCACACTTTGAAAACCACCGTCCTAGCATTTAGTAGGTACCTAGTAAATTTTGGCTTAGTATTGTAAGTATTCAAAAAACCTAATCTCACCAAAAAATGTAATCTCACTTTAGCATAGATTAATTAATAATGTTAATTCCCACTTAGAGGAATGCAAAGATACATATGGTAGGATCAAAACTAATTTAAACTTCATTTAATTCAAATTCCCCATTTTAAAATGAAGAAGTTAATATATTTTAAGTTTATTACCACAAAGAAGAATCCCTTTTAGCAATAGCCAATAGAAACAATACTAGGTACAAATCAATTATAGGCAATTTGAATACTGACATTATTATCTGTAAGATATATAAACCCAAAGATTATAAGTATAATTAAGTATGTATGCATCATTTTTAACTTATGAGAAACAGTCTGAATGTCAAAATGCGTAAAACCTGGTCTGATGGGGCTCTTATCCCAAGCTATGTCTATGGGGAAGATGCCTATTGACATCAGTAATAAAAAATCAGGCCCTGAGGGACCATAATTGTCTCTTTAAATTATTTGGGAAAATATGTACATGTTTAATCAACTAAACATGGCATACAATTAGAAGTGGTATAATTTCATCATAAATAATCAATATGCTGCTATTAATATGGTTAATAGAATGAAAAGTACCTCCAAGGAAATTTATTTTAGTATCTCTCATTTTCATTTCTCTCATTTCATTTTAAAAACTCAAGGAATTTTAGATGCTTTAAAACTACCTGTTTACCTAGAGAGTATGCACTAAGTAACCTGCTTCATACCAGTCCTCACTGACAGACACTAAAACAAATGATTGATAGTTAACTTTCCATTTTGCTCTTCGAGATCATGTTGACAGTTTATGCAGACTTTACTTCCCTAACTCATACCATCCTGTTCAAGGTACTGAACTTTGCTTGCCAAGGACACATAGGAAGACAAACCCTCTCAAATGTGCTACATTTGCCTTCAGCTTTTTAAATATCCATCTATCTTTTAGATTAGGTGCCATCTGTTGTATCATCATATCTGTTTAAATCTTATTAAAATTCCTGGCCAATATATCACTCTGCTGCGGCAATCTTACCCTGCTACCTCTCCAGGCTTTTCTGCAGCATTCAATAAAGAGCCTGCTATTTTAACTAATTCCTGAGGCAGGACACAGTGTGAGAATCTAAAACAGAATCAGTGCTATATCGTTTCTACTTTTACCCATAGAGTGAACAACTGTTCATATCAAACCTGGAATCATCCCTCCACGTCTCCTAAACACAGCACGGTTAGAGCCAATGCAGTTAATCCACCCTCCTTCAGTGCTAGTGTCGAATGGCGCTTTTGCTGCAGTATTCACCTTGGAACTAAGTAGTCAGGATTCATTATTTGTTGAAGTTACCTAACTGCCAGTTTATTCTTATACGATCGCAAACAATCACAACAGAAGACAAATACAGGCATACATATAACTTACTTACAAGGGAAGCAAATTTGCAGCCAGAGACAAGGGCAACGTAACAGCCAAGAACTGCAGTAAATCTCTTTGAGCTAATAGCTACAGCTAATAATGCTCTCCTACAACACCTCCAATCAAATAAATTGTACTCAGAGTTTAAACATCCAACAACATTCATTCCATGATGGTTAGAGATGATGTCTGATAAGAAAATTCAAGTTTATGATTTATTTACTCCTTAAATGTCTCAAAGCCCGGATTACTGGAAGACTTAATATGCCTATTCAAGCATGCTGACAGAACTGTAATCTCTTAGTAATTTCTCCCTGCACCTCTCAGCATGGCTGACAGGCATCTGCCAAGACTGTAGTACATAAACCGCTGAAACATGCAAAAATATTTACCCCCAAAAGATGCAGTGAAAGCTCAGCTTCCTCCAGCTTCCATAACCCCTGAGGTGTTAATCTGGAGGAACAGTTCCATGAGTTTCCACAGGCCAGCCGTGTGTCTCCTACACTTGACCTAGACAGCCTTACATAACGAAACCCCAGTGCTGGGGAGCTCTCTGAATGTCATCACCAGCAAGAGTAAGAAGTATTGGCAGAAGCAGGCAGGCAGGCAGGCTGGGAGTTTGCATGGAAATCATAAAGTCTTTCTTGTCTTCCTCTTTTGAAATATTTTGGAAGGAGAGTTAAGAATAGCTCAGAAACTGGTCTCATTCTTTTCGTGGGAAGAATGACCAGAAGCATAAAAGCTAAGTCTTCTAGCAAGTGGAAGACTCCTCTTTCAGTGTCTGCAGTAAACGTAACAAAAATGAATTGCTATCACTAAAGTCCTGTACCATGACACCTAAGATGACGGAAATGGTAAAGCAAAGTAATAACTCAAAGACTGTCACCGAGGGCTTTTGTCTACATTTAGCTCAATGTGGTGAGTAGAGGGAAATATGTGTATATATAATAAGATAATAATTGGGGATGTAAATTGTTTTGCAGGATGATAACTAAAGGATTGGTTAAGAATGTTTATGTTCCTTAAGCTTGTTTGTGAGCAAGATAAGACATCAAATTCAGAACGTGATGGGTTAAACTGGTTGTGTTTAGTGCATTTCAACTTCTGAAATTCTGATGCAAGTAATAAGAAAAGCAGATATCTGCCTATGGTGGTTTGCAGATAAATGTCAGATGTGTGACTTAATTACTTCTATTGTCTATAGTGAAAAATCAAATCTTAATTTTAGCATTCAGATTTTGCATATAATCAATCTTTCTTTAGACTTTGAAAGTAGTTTCTTATGATGGAGCAAGAGAGTTGCTGGGCTTTTGAGATAATCTTTGTTAGACTTACTCCTAGATATCTGGAGGATGCTTTAAACAGCACATTTAAACAATGTACTCTCCATCTAATTTTCTTTCAATTATCCCAAATGTGTGCACTGCAAGTTATGTTTTTTAAAGCTAGAAATAATAAAACAATTCTTCTATTCTGATTCTGAGTATGGTGATATGGTATTATTAATATAAGATGACATTAGATTGTTTAATTATATATAAAATCGTGGTTTGAAATGAGTTGTGGGCTAAGATGTATAATTCCTGAGGTAACAGAAATAGAGAAGAAAGCATGCATCATTTAAAAATAATGTTAATGTTCTGCTCTTAGCTGGGAAACCTATCTGCTAATGCATCACACTAAGTAGAGTGAGGAAATAAGAGAATTTAGGTCTATGAAGGAACACAGTGATCTAATTCCAACCCATCACTCAAGTCATAAGGACACTGAGGTAGAAAGAAGTTAGATGATACTCCTAATTGACACAGAAGATGTGAGGGAAAAATGGTTTTCCTGACACTAACCTGTTATTTTGTCACCCATACTGCAATTAATAATTGTCATTTGATACTGGAGTAAAGATTTGATGTGCAGTGACTTTTTTATACCATACAAATGACAGAAAACAAAAGTGGAGTAGTACTACATATCTGCTTTTATCAGTAGTCTGATTTTGGACAAAAACGTTCTGTACTGATTGTAATAAGAAACTTTCTTCAGTTATTTCTCACGACAGTAACGAACACATTGGTGTGACATTTAGTTACATTTTCAATGATGAAATTGTGTTCTGAACATTGAGCTATGTACATCATGCTGTTGGTTCAGATCCTTTTGTTTTGTTGATGTCGATTATGGTGCAGGCTTCACTGTCCCTTGGAGAGCTAATGCACATGAAATAAACAACCTTCAGGAAGTAAAGAACTAGAAAATAGAGTGTTTTTAAAAAAATATTCTGTCGCATTATCTTCAAATAAACTAAGCCTTTTGTAATTAGGTGCGTGTTTTTCATTCTTGCATCCCTGCCTCTAGCACAGTGCTTCCTGGACCTCCAGCAAATGTTTGGTGAATGAATAAATGGAGGGATGAAAAGTATTCATAATGTGTCTGTGTATGGGAAATGCATATAGTGTGGCCTGGTAGAGTTCTTTTGAGGAGTCCTTTTAAGAACTGTATCAAAATGTTTTGCTAATATATATCAGTTTAATAATTGCCAAAGTGAATGAATGCTTCTGAAATGCATGTTTGAAAATGGTTAAAAAATTTTTTTTGGCACAGTCTTCTAATTGGATCAACTTGGTATAGGTTTGGCTGCTTATAAGGGATAATCAAACATACGCTAGCTTAACCAACTAGAAGTCTGTTTTTCTCAAGTGACATTAGTTTGAAGGTAAGACTTCACAGTCCTCAGAGGTCTAAGCTCATTTTTCTTCCTCTCATACATCCTCAGCTTGGAATTTATTCCTTCTATTTGTTGCCTCATCCTCTTGAGATGGCTGCCTGACTTCCCGCATCCTAACTGCATTCCAGGGAGAAGCACAGGAAGAGCAAAAGGCATAAGACATATGCCAGGTAAATCAGCTTTCTCCAAGAGATTTCTCAGGCCCCCTAGAGATTTTAACTTACAGTGTATGGGTCACAACTTTGAAAAATGCCCACTCCCTTCTGCAAAGGAATCTGGAATCACTGTGTTTTTAGCTGAGCCCACTGCTACCCCTAAATAAAGTTGGGATTCTCTTTTTAAGACAAAGGATGTATTTCCCCCATATCCATTCTCCTTTAGCGTATAGTTTCGGTTACTGGTAAAATCTTTAAAAATGTATTGTGATGGGTTAGTCTAAGCTGATTTGTATTCCTAAAGAGCAAAAAGTCTTTTCATTTTATATCTGAGCCTTCTATGGAAAAAAATTACCCTACTTTTAGAATAGAATGTTACTTGGGAAACAGATGGATTTATAACTAGACTGTACTCAGATAGAGGCGAAGAGAAAACTGTAGACAGAGTTTTCATAATGGAAAATAGAAAATAATCCCATGCTGCATTTCATTTCATATTCACCCTATAAAATAAGATTGTCTGAAGTTATTTTCTGAAAAGATTCCAACTGGAAGAATAGATAGGCACTGAATTAAAGCTCCAACCCTTGGAATCTCTTCAATTACTAAGCAAAATTTTGTCCACTAATTTAGAAGAGAGGCCTTTCATGAGTTTTTTTTTTTCTTTTTTATCTTTCTGTTCCACTTGTTATCTTGCTGGAATCAGCTACAATGAATAGCATGTGGCTATCCCTGGCTGGTCCATGGAAGGTCTTTGTAAGTTCTCCCAATTCAGTCTCAATGATGTCTCTCTAGAACAGAACCTGTTCTTCACGTTGGCAAAGGAATAATTTGAAAGGTCCCAGAATATGGTAGTCCCACTATCCAAAAAATCCTTTACTTTAGATGTGGAGAATGTTTGTGGGCAGGCTGGAATAGCAGCTCTCTAATTTTAGAGGAAAAAATGATGTTCTTCTTAGTGTCCATTAAACCCAACTTTTCTATGGAAGTTGGTTGGCTTCTGAATCCGGATTGCCATCACCTTGGAATATCCTATTCAAAAACAATTGCATATTACACTAGACTCTACTTCACTAAAAATCTTCATAGAATATAGTATTCATTTCACTCTCTTACAGAAACAAATAGGGAAAATTCTTTGTCAAAAATCAAACTATATCCAGACTAACTAGAGAGTGAAACATTAAAAAATACTTAGCAACTGGCAGGTATAGATTTTATAAGTCATAAACTGAAGGTAGAACAAAAGTTTAATTTTCTTCATTTTCTTATAAATTAATTTTGCTTCTATATTAATGTTTTATTTTTACCTAATTAAGGAAAATCTTATTTAATTATTTGTGAGTCCACTGAATGACATTACTGCATTTTCAGTTATTTCAAATTGAATCCACTAAAATGTGAGATTTTTATTTTTGCCCTTTATATTAATTGGAGTAACCTTTGTTTCAGCAGCAAATACACCTTCAAACATTGGTGACTTGGTGCAATGAAACTATATTTCTTGTTCATGAACAGTTCTACATGGTTGTTCCCAGTTAGTAGGTGGTCTTCCATGTGATCATTTATGGATATAGGATTCTTCAGTCTTGTGACACCATTTGCTTCTAGGTACTCAGAGTCAGCTAACAGATAGAAAAAGACATTATGAAGAATTACACCTATCACTTCAGTCCAGAAGTGACACACATGCCTGGCTTATATTTCAATGGTGTGAAATAGTCATATAGCCCCACTAGGTGCAGTGGAAGGCTGAGACATTCCCCCAGCTGGGCAGCCAATTCCTAGAAGGAAACATGAATATTGGTGGTAAGCTGTATTTGCCTACCTTTTATATTTGCAGTTGAAGCAATTTAAAAACATATATGATCTTTTTGCCAGTTATCATTTAAAAATAAAATAAAGAACTGAGAATATTTAATTTGTAGGGGGGAGTAAATTCCTTTATGTTGGTGCTATGATCGGTCCTATTTTGCACCTTAAGATTAAATTGCATACGTTTTCTTCTACTCCTCACAGAGCCCAGAGACACTTCAGTGTAGATTTTCCAATTGTTATATCATAGTATCTAGGATTCAAGTCTCTTTTACATTTTAAACAAGCATTCTAAATTGCAGCAGTTCTACATGCTAGGAGAAACATGAATGGTCTATATGAACTTTAAAAGGATGATTTCTGAACCCATTCTGATGGTAGCATCCACTAATATCCAGCTAACACTTCTGCATTTCATGCAGGATATAAGAAGGAATAAGAAGAAAGGAGTAGAGTCTATATCAAGAAAGAAAGCTGATCATGGTGGCTCACACCTACAATCCCAGTACTTGGGAAGGCCAAGGTGGGAGGACAGCTTGAGCCCAGAAATTCGAGACCAGCCTGGGCAACATAAAGGGACCCTATCTCTACCAAAAAAAAAAAAAAAAAAAAAAAAGTCAGCATAGCAGTGCATGCCTGTGGTCCCAGTTACTTGGGAGGCTAAGATGTGAGGATTGCTTCAGTCGGGGAGTTCAAGGGTGCAGTGAGTAATGATCATGCCACTGCTCTCCAGCCTAGGCAACAACAGAGCAAGACCCTCTCTCTCAATTAAAAAAAAAAAAGTTTAAAAAAGCTCTCATAAATCCTTAGCAAACATCTTCTTATGTGTCTAATTGTCTAGAATTGTTATATGGCTATTCACAGCAGCAAGGGAGGAGGCTGGAGAAATACAGCTTTTAAATTGGATTTGTAGATGTTTCAAACAAAATTCTTGATAAGGAAGGAGGAGGGAAAGATACGTGGCAGGCAAATAACAATGTCTGCCTCAATATTAACAGCCCAATTAATCAGGTTAAAGTGATTATAAGCTTGTTTTACACTCTCTAGAGGACTTAGTAGTAGTGTGTGTGTGTGTGTGTGTGAGACAGAGAGATAGACAGACAGATATACACACAGACAGGAAACTGAATGGAAAAGACTTGTTATTATAAAAAAAATTGGGATGAAGAGGAAAAAACCTAAGCTCTAGAAAAAGACAATTTCAGAATATTTTGAGATAAATCCCAAACTATGAAGAATATTCTAGCATAATGAAGAAATAGATTACAGTTCAATAGCAACACAAAAAGTGTTCTGAAAAATACATTACATCACTAGAGCAGGTGTGCTTATGATTAGTGTCCTGTGTTGGAACTGACAAGGATGAGGCTCAGGCAGGATGTTGTCCTTAGTAATAACAGTCGGAGGAATCTGCTTATTCCAAGTGATCCATTTCATAAGGGAGCTGAGGAAAAGCAATTGTTCTTTAGGGATTCCACAATTCAAAGTTCAGTTCATCTATCAAAATATGCAGACAATAAATAAAAGGATCAAAGCAGATGTTTTACTAGATAGGCCAGTTAATGTGGTGACTAAGGTGGGTGGCAAACACTGATGAGGTCCTCCAGCTCTGGTCACTGTTGGGGTGTCAGTTGCTGTTTTATACTACTTCTGTTGCTTTAAATAAGACTTTCAGCACGAAGGAGGAAGTGGGGAGAGAAACAGGGAGTGGGAGAGATGGAGAGAGCGAGAGAGAGAGAGATAAAGAGAGAGAGAGAGAATGAACCCCTAGGCAATCCAGAAACTGCTTTCATTTAAAAGAGTTATGTAACCTAGTGGTTAATGAATCAGAGTGTTTGTAGATTTATAATTTTGCCTTTCTGCATTTTTCAGTCTTGGGTTCTCTTCTGAACCTGCAAGGGTTATGTACAAAGTGGGTGTTCTAGTTAGTCCAGGAAGAAGCAGTCCAAAAAGTTTTCTATTCTCCTTACGAGTGGCCTTCCTTCATTATGCACACACCCACCCACCACTAGAACTTCTGTTTCAGAATTAAAAGAGAATCATCTAGGTCAGGACATGAATGTGGATATGAGGATGCGGGGAGGTGGGTGACTGGATAGAAGGAAGAGCTAAGGGTTGAATTTTTGTCCTTTCTGGCATCTCTTTTCCAAATTGGTTTCCCAAGTGAGATATCGGAACATACAGGCCCTGGTTAATTATCCAGTGCATGAGATTATCTCTCATTTTGCCCTAAATGGCCTAAATGGCAGGCACAAATACACTGTCGTTTCTTTTTCTGGGATCCCCCATATCTTATTTTTAGTCATTCTCCACACAATTAGCCTTCTGGGGAACTCCCTTCTAGATCTGTGGATACTTCTCAGACCAGATCAAGAGTTTACTTTTACACCCACTTATTTTGGTCAATGTTCCAGCATCATTGAATTGCTTACAGATATGAGAGATCTTTATGCTATTTCATGCCTCTGTGAATATGCTCAGGCTGTTTTCTCTCAAGGACCTTCATCTTCCCTCATTCCACCAAGACCTGGCTTCATCATTCCACCCTCAGTCCTTTCCCCAAAGTCAGAGGACATTGATATACTAATAAGTATCAATTATACCTATTATTGATTAGGCTTAAGAATCAGTTCTTTCAGACAGCTTTTCCTGATCCCTCCACCCCCAACCTAGTGGAAAGGATTCCTGCTCACTGAGATGTTGCTGTGGACTATAATAAAAGCCTAACGTGCTTATACTTTGTTAACCATATTTGCTTATATATCACCAATCTCAACTAATTAGCTAATTATTTGAAAGCAAAGATTGTGGATTATTCATCTTTGAATTTCCAGCACCTAAAACGGAGCCTTATAAGAACACAGTATGCATTCAACTATTATTCTTTGCAATTAAAAATTATAATTATTGATAAGAATGAAGATGAAGCCCATTTATTTTAAGAAAGCCAAATACATGCAAACATAGATTTGTTAAATAGAAAATACTAGGGATAATGATATGTTCTATAAAACAATGCTTCACTTTGTAAGCAATCACCAGATTTTCACTGAAAATACCATTAAAAAGTTATATTTATACTCAGTTTACCCCAGAAAAAAATTATTTCTCAAAATAAGCAACATCAATACTCCAAAAATCCAATGGAAGGGAATTGCTTGATCTTTAAAAAAGTAAATTATATCTGGTTATAGTAGCAG